AACGTCATGCCCGAGAACTTTATAGAAATCAATTGATACTTCACTTTGACTTCATACTGAAACACGATTGGCCAATCGAACAATGCCTCTCCATATTAGGGTTTTCTTTGGCGGGAAAACGAAGAGTCCATGTTTTGATCTTTTCATCTATTAGCTGATAAAACAAATAACTAACATTTACCGAAACCATTTTGCAAGGTCATACAAAACCGCTCTATCCTACTGACATAGCCACGTTAACAAAACTGAATAGTTTTTCTGTAGGGTTTTGGTCTTGTGGTTCAAAGTTAAAATGCGTATAAAATTCATCTTTGCTTTCAGGCTAATTTAGTGGTACAAGAAGCCCGTTTGAAGGTAGCTTCTACTGAGCTAAACAGTGCACAGGAAAAGCTTGATGATAAGCAGAGAGAACTTGATAAGGTTCAAGCCATGTACGATGCCGCCGTCAAGGAAAAGCAGGTGAATTTATATATTGTGCACTGCGTGAAATAAGTAGTTTAGTGGAATTTCAAAGGGCCACCATACTCCATGGCACTTAGCAAATCGTATATTGATACGCAAGGTGTCACGAAACGCGGGGTTTCAGAGGGTGGCATGTCCCTGATACTTCTGTCGTGAAATATCAGGCCAAATCATAGCCGGTACTCGTCTACTGCGGTGTGTCAAAAAATGTACGAGCTCTGATACTTAGCGATATCAGTCAGCTAGAACTATGTCGACTTTCGTCAGTGAGGTAAAATAGCATGAAAATTGAAATTTACGAAAAATTAAACTTTACCTAATGATATAATGGTTCAATTTTATCCTTGGTTTAAATTTTGTCTCCCTTTGTCTTAAATTCATTATCGTAGATGACCATACCCCCAAAACAAAGGGAAATAAAATTGGAATCAAAGAAAAAATTGAACTACAACACTCCTAGAATCATGGACAAAAATCTTTGGATAAATTTGCAGTTTGTGGGGCTTTCTTTGAATGACACTATGCCTAACCCCTACCCCCTACCCCACAAACAACGTTAGACGCGTTTATCCAGGATTTTTCAGAGTTTCAACATTGTATAAGATAAGAGGCCATATACTTCAAATCACTTCACGTACATAACAAGTCTAAATTCCCTAACCCTAACAAAGTAGATCCACATCAGTCCTTAAGCTACTCATGTTACTACCTTAAAAATTTGCTTTCCTCGTCACTGTCGTCATTTTGAGGTATGACGTTCTGACCTCGGGCTTCGTCCACACCACATCGTGGAAAATGCAACTTCATTGTCCACCTAAAATGGAACTGTATTTGAAACGCTCTTCAAAGTGGATATTTGAAAACTGCATTTTATCCGCTCTTGACTAAAAAGGTGTATATCTTACCGTTGGTAAAAGCTGTGTGTAAACGAATAAAACAATTTTCAGGGTAGTTAAGATTACGTTCAAGAATGAGTCATCAGTGACAGTGCAAGATGAGTGACTTCAACTAATTTGCTCCTTTGATAATACTCTCTTTATCCTCTTTAGGACTTGCTAGATGATGCAGAATCGTGTAAGAACAAAATGCAAGCCGCATCCGCACTCATTGCAGGCCTGGGAGGTGAGAAGATTCGATGGACGCAGCAGAGTAAAGAGTTCCAAGACCAGATAGGCAGGTATGAAGAATGTTAATAGAAACAGCCGTTCTCTGTCACTAAACATCGAGTGTTGCTCAATTGAATTGATTAATCCTGACGTAGTTAATCGATAAAAATCGACACCGGAAATCAATTGATATCATCGATATTAATCGATTTAATCCACCGATTAATATCGATTGATATCAGAAATCAATAGAAATCGAAGTCACAGAAAAATAATTTATCGACTATTATCGATTAACAAAATTGATAACAATCGATAGGAATCGATAGTAATCGATAACAATCGATAAAAAACCATTATCGATATTTATCAGAAATCGATATTTTTAAAATCATAGTCACAACTTTTTTCTTTATCGATTTCTATCGATTGATATCGGACATCAATATTCATCGATGATTGACATCAATTACTATCGATTAACTACGTCTAGATTAATTCAGTGATTGATCCTCCTGGCAGGCTTGTTGGGGATGTGTTATTGGCTACTGGCTTCCTGTCCTATCTCGGTCCATTCAATCAGAATTTCCGCACTCTGTTGTTAAGCAGATGGGAGAAGGAGATGACCGCCAACAAAATCCCCTTCTCAGAGAATCTCAACCTGATCAACATGCTAACGGACGCAGCTACGGTTGGTGCTGAGTAAAGTGACTTGTCATCTGCATGTTTATGTGTTTATGTACCTCTATGGTACTTCTATGGAAGTGAAATTTAGAAATTAAGCCCTAAGATTTCACGGTAACGATCGATACCGGTACCGTGTTTTTACCGTACCTGAGAACAAGGGAACCGAAAAACCGTTCCCTATATCACTACTGTATCAAAATTTCTTGCGTATAAGTTTTTTTTTCTCTTTACTTGAAGAGTGAGGATTCAAGTGATTCAATCGCTTCCAAAAGAACCCTAGTAACACATGGGAGTAAAATTGCAAATGACACTTGTCATCTGGTATCATTACCAAAGAACATTGTGCTGTAACCAGCGTACATGTGTCATAACTTTGGCTAATTCTCGTAGAAATCTCTTATCAGTCCACGAAATCTTCCAGGGATATTCATGGTACCAAATAGGTTCCATGATCTCTGCACACGGAACCGAAAAGTGTTCTCCATGCAGATTGAAATCCTAGGGCTTGTTCAATGATTGAAAGACACTGTGCTTGGCCAGACCATGTTCACTTTAGACTTATGGAGAGGAGAAGTCGTTACGTCACGTTACGTTAAAGCGGGCGAGTGAAATTAGGAAGTTTCATGTCGCGGTCGTGCATCAACGGCTAAGAAATGAAATAAAAGCGTGGTGCACGTGCAAAGCTGTTCTATTGCCAATCTAAATCTATTGCTTTTTTGCTGTTGCAAAAACTCCCTATTGTTGTGATCCAGAAATTTTGCTACCATAGTAACGTGACGTCACACGTCTCCTCTCTATATCAGGCTACGTTCACGACCGGTTGAAAATTCGAGGACCCTCAAAATCGTCAGTCGGTCGCGGAGAATTCGTCCGGTGCCTCGTGAACGTAGCCTGAGGTGAATTAGTCTTTACTCTTGTCTTTTTTTCAGATTGGTGAATGGAATCTTCATGGTCTCCCAAGCGATGAGCTGTCCATTCAAAACGGTATCATCGTCACCAAGGCAACAAGGTATCCTCTTCTGATAGACCCACAAACTCAAGGCAAAGCTTGGATCATGAGTCGCGAGAAAGAGAACGAACTGCAGGTATGTAGCTCAATGTCTACGCGTATAATTGTAACTTTTGGGTCTGTGGATGAAATTCTATGGTGTGACCATTCAAATGAAAGTCACTGAGCAGTACGTTCCTGCAGTACTGGTTATTATGCTGTAGAAGGTGATTCTAACTTTTGAGTCTTTGGGTGAAATCCCATGGTGTGACCATTCAAATGAAAGCTCTTCAGGAAAACATTCACATGGTGCTATTTATTTAGTATGTATTGGTTACTTTTGAGTCTGTGGATAAAATCCTATGGTGTTGCCATTCAAGTGAAACCACTTCAACAGTATTTCCACATGGTACTATTTATTTAGCATGTAGTGTTAACTTTTGAGTCTGGGGATAAAATCCTATGCTGTGACCTTTGCTTTTGAATCTTTTACTCAAACCCCATGGTTGACTTCTTAAATTGTTAAACTCTTTGAACTGTCTGGTATTTAGGTGACATCACTTAATCACAAGTACTTCCGAAATCATCTGGAAGACTCCCTGTCACTCGGAAGACCTCTTATTATTGAAGACGTCGGAGAGGAACTAGACCCTGCTTTGGACAATGTGCTGGAGAAAAACTTCATCAAGTCTGGCTCTACTTACAAAGTAAGTACCTTGCTAATGCATACCTACAGCTAACATAAAAACGGAGCAACAAATAACGATTTTTATCCATTCCAAGTTGTTATATTATTTCTGATTCTTGTATCGTAATTTTTAAATTGTTCGCACAGTGTAAGACTTATCTTAATTCGCAATTTCGTTCGTTTCGTGTTTAAAAAAGACAACTGAGGCACTGTTCGAGTTCCGAAACACCAATGCACAGATTTTGAAACAACACTTCCAGAAACGTGATTTCGTATAACAGTGATTAAATGAGAAAGCAAGCAAATCCTAGTAAATCTAAAAGAAATATAAAACTGACGACGAGATCAATCATCTGAGATATTTCTTTGTGTTTGGCTCACCTGTAGAGTCATGTTTTTAAGATCTTCTTTTTGACGCTACACGCGAGAACGGAATGCATGGTAGAGAGCTCGATACAACTACTATGCGAAAGCATTAGTTTTGTTTGTTTGTTTCTGGTGTTGACGTCACAATAGGTTTAAAATTTTGAGCGCGCGCAGAAGAATTTTTCACAAAATCCATAGGCTTGCGCGTCACTTCCGCTGTATTTTGCTGACAGTTTCGTGCGCTATCGGCAAATATTAGAGTATTGTCAAAAAGGAAAAGGAAAAGTATTAGCATCGGCATCAACATCATTATCAGTATCGCTAATTGCATGAGCATTAGTATTAGTATTAATATTAGCATAAGCATTAGTATTAGTATAAACATTAGCATTAGTATTAGTATTAGCGTTAGCATTGGTATTAGCATTAGTATTAGTATTCCCAACTTGCTTGCCGTCAAATAAGGGACCGTTCATATTTTATGGGGTAGGGGGGGCTGGTGGGATTTGGAGGAGTGTAATTTGAAAATTGTATGCCCCCCCCCTCATCAGAGTAATTTTTTGGAAGCTCCCCCCCCCCCATGAATAAAAAAATACATAAGGTATTAAAAAAATAACTGCATTAAAATTTCGTTTTGATACATTTCACGTAATTTAGTGAAAGAAAGCTGAAAGCTAGAAAGCTGTTTTTAACAAATCCTCACTCAAAAGAATGAAAAGTCAATTTCAGCTCTTCTTGTTACTGCTCGTCCTGAGCGCGTTGTAGCTGGCCGCTCGTCTACATATTCCTCTTCTGAGGCGATAAAAGCAAGAACGACATCATTTGAGTCGTCTTAAGAGTCAGGGGCATCACTCTTGTAATCATCATCAGTTTCTTCTCCCTCACTGCTTTCACCACTGCTGTCTAGTTGACCTGATTCATTGCTGCCTCTCACTTCGGCTTGACCTGTTCTGAGAGTATTCATCTGCAGGAAGTGTCCCATAATTATCTTCACTTTGTCATTCTTGCTGCTCTTCTGATGCTGTTTTAATAGCCCATGATGTTGTAAGTATTTGTTCAATTCTGGCACACGGAGCTTTTTTAGCTTGGCGGCATCTTCGCACAAAGTAGCCCAATGATAATCATCATAGGACTTTTCTCTTGCCTCCCTACTTTCCCTTGCCCTTTCCGCCAGTCTCTTCTTTTTTTTAAACTCTATGACCTCAAGATGCTGGAGATAGTCAACCACAAACTTTGGTTTCACAATGAATTTGTCTCCCAATCTAGCTACGCTCTCTCGGTCAGACAAAACTACGCTACCACTGGCATGTGCCTTTTTCAACTGGACTCTTGGTTGCCAATCGTCTGGATCACGCCCCTCATTTGGGGTCTGCTGACAATTCCGGAAGCGTGCATAAACGTTGAAGATGTAGCAGCATTGTTGCGAACACGGGATGCAGCATTCATCGCTCACCTACTGCAATCAAGCTACTTCAGCAACGCGGCACAAAGCAGGCTTATTACCAACCTTAAGCCAGAAGTAAGAAACAGGATGTATTGCTTCCTGCATCCTGAAGATTATAGCTCAAACGTCGGAGACACGAACAAAGAGGAAGAAGAAAACGACGAAGAAGAGGAAGAAGAGGAAGACAACGAAGAAGAACAGGAGGAAGAAGAAGAGGAACACAGCGACGACGAGATCGAAGAGAACGTCGAAAATGAGAAAGGGGACACCTCGTAGTAGTTTCATGCCCCTCCCATTAAATTTCTCAGAGAAAAGCTCTGGTAACGAGGTCAGTTCCAATTCAGGACTCAAATTATTGGTTTTAATTATATGAGCTTGACAACAACATTTTCATGAATGAAAAGAAAGTTGTTGCTATTCAAGACTGTTATTATGGTATGTTCACTGTCCTTATAAAATATAAAAGCTGTTGAGAAGTTTTCTTGTTACCCTGGAACTGTTTTAGCATATTTGTTATAAATAAAAGAGCACAATTTTTCTTCGATTTGTAAACATCTCTTATCCTATTTTTAATCTAATTTTTTCGTCCGACCCGCCCCCCTTCCCTTCATTTTTTTTCGGCTGGCGCCCCCTTTCAAGCCAATTTTTTTCGAGTGCCCCCCCCCCAATCCCACCAGCCCCCCCTCTCTCATAAAAAATGAACGGTCCCTAAGTCAGTTCAGTTTTTATTTGCTCATTTTAACACTCATTTGTTTCCGTTAGGTTAAAGTTGGCGATAAAGAATGTGATGTGATGAGCGGCTTTAAAATGTACATCACCACAAAGCTGGGAAATCCTTCGTACACACCTGAGGTTAGAGACGTTGTTACCACCTTCGAGTATCTTCTGTATTGTGTTTCAAAAAACTGAGTTAAAGGATTGTGTAGCCGCGGCTTTGCGCAGCAAGTGTCGCTTCCCCACCGTTTAGCAAAAATGGCAACAGCTGTAGCACTTGCATTCCAGTTCCCTTAAATCATATGTGGGAAAGTTTGCCAATGTTAGCAGTTTACTATCTGATGATACAAAGTGGTTTTCATAATCTTAACCTGTCTAATTGTACGGTTTTTCTGGCTGTTTAGGTGAGCGCACGTACAGCAATAATTGACTTCACTGTGACGATGAAAGGACTGGAAGAGCAACTTCTTGGAAGAGTGATTAACACCGAAAAAGAGGTGAACCTTTCTTATTCTTTACCCTGCGCAAACTTAAGATTCGAGATGTCATATCATCCAAAGGAAGTGTTGCGTTTTCATTTTAACTTAAACGCCTTGTTTTACAGGAGCTAGAAGCAGAACGAGTGAAACTCATGGAAGATGTCACAACAAATAAAAGAAAGATGAAAGAACTTGAAGATAATCTGTTGTACAGGCTCACAAGTACCCAGGTGATTTAGCTTTTAGATTGGTAAAACGATAATACTTTTCTTGTAGTTGTGGAAAGGGTTAAGGCTGGTTGTTGCAATGAAAAGCACCAGCACCTAACCTCCTTCTGGGTCTGCGAAAACCGTTTATTGTATCAGTGTGCGACTCGTACGTCCATTAGCAGATTTATTGACAGACCTCAAGCGTGACTTATTTTCCCTAAGAAAACGAAAACTATCTTTTCTTTGGTAAATGACAGAAAATAAATAGGCATTAAAAAAGTCCAAGAATGGACGATCGTCCCCAGTTTGGTTGATGTTTAAAGATAACGCAACGTCAAACGAGAACGCGAAAGCGCGCGAACAAGGACTGAACGCGACTTCTGGTACCTAATTTGTGGCTCTGTAATTAGTCAAGTCGATTTTTACTTCTGCACACGCCTCTCGTCTCTTTGTCTTTTCTTAATCACCGTAGTGAAAAGTACTACGAATTGTATCTAAGGTCTATAAACACGACTTTTTGAGCTTTCGGTTACATAAGCAAACAGTTCTTGCAATAACAAGAGAGGCTACGTGCAATACTATGTACCATTTCAAGACTTTGGTAATAAATTCTGTTCAGTGCTTTGTCTTGCCATGGCCATTTTATGCCACCCACGAGGGCCATTTAACTTGCTACTGGGCGGGCTGCATGACTTAAACCTTGTTTTCATCTTATTCAGGGTTCCCTAGTAGAGGATGAGTCTCTGGTAGCAGTGTTGAAAACTACTAAAGAAACGGCCGAGGAAGTGAGCGAGAAGCTTACTGTTGCTGCTGAGACTGAAGTGAAGATCAACTTGGCTCGTGAGGAGTTCCGCCCTGTTGCCACGCGCGGCTCCATTTTGTACTTCTTAATCGTCGAGATGAGCATGGTGAATGTCATGTATCAGACGTCACTCAGACAGTTCTTGGGAATCTTCGATCTGTCCATGGCAAGGTACTAGCACTGAGGAGTTGATTCATTGTTGACTAGTTCATTCTTGAGACGGTAGACAAATAATTCCGGAGAGCGTTTTTTTCGATGCACAATTTGTTGTCTTGCAAGAGACTGGATGAAAACCACTCTGTTTTAAAACACGTATCAGTATCTTTTTCTATCGATTGATGCAAGACTTTCCACTTACCCCTCCCCTAACCCAGCGTTTTAATAACATCTTACTTAGGGTCACAATATTGATTTAGGGGAGGGGAAGGTGGGCAGAAGATTCTGGGAATTGAAGCTGCCCACTTACCCCTCCCCTGTTAATGTAAACGTTTACTAAGGGGCGGGTAGGTGGAAAGTCCAGCATCGAGCCCTCCCCTGCGTTAAACCTGGCCGAAGGAGACAATTAATCAAAGCAAAATAACAACCTCCAAATCGGTGAAGGCAGGCGTTTGTTAAGCTTAACGACCAGAGGAAAAAATCGCCACATTTGTCCGCAAATATTCAGCTCTTATCATTCTGCTTCAACTAAGTATCGTCCACTGGCATTACTGAATTTTTTCTTTTCAACAGATCTGAGAAATCACCTATTCCAGCGAAAAGAATCCAAAACATCATTGAGTTTCTGACCTATGAGGTCTTCAAGTATTCGTGCCGTGGTCTGTATGAGAACCACAAGTTCTTATTTACTCTTCTTCTGGCGCTCAAGATCGACATTCAGGGCGGAAAAGTCAAGGTTCAAGAATTCCAGACGCTAATAAAAGGTTTGCAACATCATGCTTTTTCCTCCTGCGCGAATCAGTCAAAAACAAGAAGAAGCAGCTAAAATTTCTTTCTGAAGACCAAGAGTAGAGAACAACACGTAGTTCAGCTATTTAGAGTATATTTTCACATACTTAGCGCATAATACGATACACATCACATGAATCTTCTTTAAGACTTGCCACACGTAACCAATTGCTTCAAACAGGCGCTTGAATGCACTAGAAAAAAATTGACGTTTCAATTATTTTACGTCACAAAGACCTTTGACACGTAAGCGCGAGCGACAGAACACTCGCGCGAAAAGCGCGAGATAGTTGCATAACATACTTGAGTTCCAAACTTCTAGTTGAGAGGGCGCTTTTACAGCCGATTACGAATATGTTTGTATGCGTTGATTAGAAGGCGGTGTTATGGCTGACGTTTTAAAATATATATATTCAGTTAAGCTGATGTAACGGGGTATGAAGTGCCAGAGAACTTCACACGATCAGTTCTACCGTGCGCGAGCTTGTTTCCTCATCATTTTGCGTTCAAAATGTAGCGGCGTGTAGCACCGTTTGGCCTCGTGCTACCGGAAGATTGTTAAGGCACTTATTAGGGAGTTTAAGCAACGACTTTTTTGAGCGACACACGTCAAACGGATGTGGACTTTTTGGACTCTTAGTCCGTGATTTTGAACAAATTATTGGGCAAATTGTCTCCATAAGAGTAAAGACACTTAGCAATACAAATTTGGTAGCTTGTAGGCATATTAAAAGAAAGAGGGTCACTTCCGGTTTACGTGCTTCGCTCAAAAACGTCGCTGCTTAAATTCCCCATTATCCTATAAACGTAGTGCATACTGCTTAATGACATCATGTGCCTCTCTGTGAAGGTGGCGCGGCGCTTGATCTGAAGGCCGTGCAACCCAAACCCGGCAAGTGGATCATGGATATGACCTGGCTTAACTTAGTGGAGCTAAGCAAGTTACCGCAGTTCTCAGGAATATTAGATCAGGTTTGTCAGTGAAACACCAATAGGCAGCTATAACAGTAGATTTACGACTAACTTGTCCATTGTTCAGCTAGGTAAATTACTGGAACATGCTATTTGCTTTTAAATCAGGTCTGTTAGTAGTTAACTGCCTTGTAGTATAAGGAGCTATAGTTACGGATATACAAATATCAAGGTAGTTTTGTAGCCACACTAGAATCTGTTAGAAACGTCTCGCAGCTGTAACAAGGTCTTATATGATTGGTTGAGAAAACAGTGAATGAACAAAGTTAACAAAGGAACCTATTCCCAAAACAAAAGAGCTGCGGCATAAATTATAGAGGTCCAATGAAGGCAATGCTCTGTGAGGCAGGCATGGATAAGCAGCTGTAGTTACAGATGTACATATGTCTAGGTAGCTTTGTAGCCAGACTGGAATCTGTTAGAAGCCTCTCGCAGCAGTAACAAGGCCTTTCACGATTGGTTGGGAAAACTGTGAACGGACAAAGTTAACAATGGAACTTAGCCCCAAAACAAAAGAGCTGCGACTTAATTATAGGGGTCCAGTGAAGTTAGAGGATTTAATGATGTGCGAGGCAAATGCTCTGTTAGGTAGAAATTCAAAGGAGGAGAAAACCATAGGCCTCCTTCCTTTTCTAATCAACTCCCGCCAAAAAGACAAATAAAGGTGTCTCTACATTCCTTTTACTAAAACAGTTCGATCCTCCCAAAGGTTCGTCGCAATGAGTCTGGTTGGAAACAGTGGTTTGACCAAGACGCACCTGAGGAAAGCCACATGCCTGATGGTTATGAAAGCTCGTTGGACACCTTCAGGAAACTTCTTTTAGT